CGACGTGGGCCGGTGGGCCGTGGGCGCGCGCCCTTCATCATCCCTGAGTGTGCTCACCTCCTACTCCCATCCTGGCACTTTCTGTGGCCCGGTGGAGCCCCCCGCCACGGGGGTGCGCCCTCGGGGGCCCCTGAAAACCCTTTTATCCCGTGGTCCTTTGACCTTGTATGGACCCTGTTTGTAGAAGGAAAAACTGAAGCCCCATGGGAAAAAGTCAGTGCCTACCCCCCAGCCGGGTCTTGCCACCCCACCCCCCCTTGTCCCATGGTCCCCAGAACATTCTGTGAGTCCTCTAAGAACCTCTAGTCCAGATCCTTTTCTGAACACCAGCCTTCTGGGTGTCCCAGGCCCTTCCCTTTCAGGAGAATAGAATCGGTTCCCCTGGTGACCACATCCTGGGCCAGGCAGGGCGCTAAGCCCTGCACGTTCACCCCCATCCAGTCCCCAGGCAGCCCCGAGATCGCTGCTGGGCCCCTTTACAGAGAGGAACTGGCTCGCCCCCATCCACCCAGTCAGGGGTCTGGCTCCGGGAAGCTGGTGGGGGGACTGTGAGCAGGAGAGCCTCTGAGCCCCTCCGTGTGTGCAGGGTGGGGGGACTGTGAGCAGGGGAGCCTCTGAGCCCCTCCGTGTGTGCAGGGTGGGGGGACTGTGAGCAGGAGAGCCTCTGAGCCCCTCCCTGTGTGCAGGGCGGTGGTCGAAGGCCTGTGGCTGCGCTACCAGGAGATGCCCGTGGAGGAGGACGTGGGGCGGGAGCAGCGGCGGCGAGTGCTGCAGACGGTGGTCTGGTTCCTGCTCACCCTGCTGCTGGCGCTCTTCATCCCCGACATCGGCAAGGTCATCTCAATCATCGGAGGCCTGGCCGCCTGCTTCATCTTCGTCTTCCCAGGTGCGGACCCCCGGCGCCCCCGCAGCACTGCCTCCCTCCCGGCCAGAGCGCCTCCCTTGCTCACCTGCGGGGGAGAGGAGCCACCAGCCTGAGTGGTCACCCGCCACAGGCTCTGGGCTGACCCGGGCCCAAGCACCGTCTGATAGGAAGATGCTGTTCTCTCCACTTCCTGACGAGGAGAAGGGAGGTTCATGATGTGAACTCAGCAAATGGGTCACAACCTTTCCAACGCCAAGCTGTCTAGGTCCTCAACCTATACCCCTAGTCCCACGTTCAGGTCTCTGTGGCTCCCTGGCGATCAGGGCTGTGGCTGGTCAGTCCCCAGAGGGCAGTGGGGTCTGTGGCTGCACCCTGACCCAGAAGCCGGGAGTCCTGAGTGTCAGACGGGTCTGCCACCAGGTCCCTGGGAAGCTGTCCCACCTGCCCAGCCATGAGTGCCACTTGTACCCAGTTTATTCCACCCTGACAGCCCCTGCCACTCGGCGCGGAGCAAGGGGGCCACATCCGCTCAGCAATCACCGGGAAGGGCCCGGGCGTGCTGCCCCGTTAGCTCCGAGTGCTGCACGCGGCTCACGGTGTGCCTGTGGGTGCTGGCGTCTCCCTGGGAGAGCCCATGCCAGGCCTCGGGCTGGGTGTGGGGGCAGAGGTGGAGTATCTGGAAAAGCCAACAGGCCTTTCTCCATCCACCGCTGCCTCTTGGTAAGCGGGGAGCTGGGCCCGGGGAAGGGGCCCAGCCAAGCTCTCGGGGCCGCCTCTTCTCTTCCAGGGCTGTGCCTCATTCAAGCCAAACTGTCTGAGATGGAGGAGGTCAAGCCAGCCAGGTAAAGCAGCGCCAGCCTGGTCCTCAGGGGAGGCGCTACACGGGAGGGACCCTTGGAGGGGGCCTGAAAGTCACAGGGATCAGGAGACTTGCCCACTTTGAAAAACGGGAGTGTTTTAAAATTCCTTTTAAAAAATGGGTAATGTGCTAGTTAGGACAGTGCGAGCACTCCTGAAGGACTTCAGAGAAAAGAGTGGAATCCCTCCTCCCCCACAGCCCAGATGCCACCCGCCCCCGCCCCAGCTCCATGTCCCAGCAGGGTCTGCGCCCTCCCGGACTCTGCATGTGTGCCTGTCTGTGTGCACACAGCTGTGAATATGTGTACACAGACACGTGGAGTTCGGGGTCTAGTTGTGTGTTTTTCGTTTGTTTTTTAAATATGTTTTTATTGATTTTTAGAGAGAGAGGAAGGGAGAGGGATAGGGAGATAAGAAACACCGATGAGAGAGGAACATCATGGATCGACTGCCTCATGCAGGCCCCCTACTGGGGATGGAGCCTACAACCCGGGCATGTGCCATGACCAGGAATTGAATTGCAACCTCTTGGTTCATAGGTCAACGCCCAGCAGCTGAGCCTCTTCGGCCGAGCTGTTTTGTTTATTTTGTTTTAATGAAATGGCCCACACCGTGGCCTCCTTTTCCCCGAAACATCTTTCCGTCAGGAGACACGCATTCTCACCCTGGTCCTGCCCTTGACCTCCTATGACCAGTCCATCCCATTAGGTCTTGGTCTCCTTACCTGTGGATTAGGGGTCATACCCCTGGCAGCGCACACCTTTGTATGAAAAGTCCTTGCGAAGTAGGAAGGGCTCTACCCACAGAAGTGGTTTAGGTCAGTGGTCGCCAATCGGTGGTCCGTGAGGTCCGAAAGGTTGGCGACCGCTGGTGTAGGTGATTATGGTGATGAATGTGTGTGTGTATCGAAGTCTGCAGAGTCACGGGTGGGCTGATTGACAGGCCTGCCTCCCCCTCTGCCTACAGCTGGTGGGCACTGGTCAGTTACGGAGTCCTCTTGGTCACCCTGGGAGCCTTCATCTTCGGCCAGACCACAGCCAACGCCGTCTTCGTGGATCTGTTGGCATAACCACGGCCTCCCTTGCACCCAGGAACCCATCTCAGTGCTGCGGGGCCACGCTGACTCGGGCATCACATCCCTCTCCTGGTGGGATGATTCCAGGGACGGATCTGGGCTGAAATCGGGCCCCACGGTCTGGAGCCTGCAGCACGGGCATGTGCCCTGACTGGGAATTGAACACACCAGCTCCCTTCCTGCTCCCCCGTCCTGGCAGGGCCCTGGCTGGTGGGAGGGGGGCCACAGGAGCTCCTCCAGGCCTGGAGCCCACGGTGAAGAGGCTCAGCAGGACTCAGGAGAAGGCAGCAGCATGACTTCCCTCTGGAGAAATAGGGGCGCCCTCTCCACAGAGCAGGGGCCGTGCTCCCTCCCCAGGACTCACGCCTGCTCTGCTCCGTCTGTCCGCGGACCAGCCAGCAGTGGCTTCCTCTGGGCTCCGGCCAGTCCCAAAGGTAGCGCTGAATTCACACGGATGCACAGAGGCAGGTAGAGTCCGT